AATAAGGCCAGAAATGAAACTGCAAAAGACAAATGAGCAGCTGTCAGACCTCATCCTCTATCAAGATCAATTTAATTAATTAAATATAAATAAAAATTTAATGTATCGATATAAAGCGAATGACACCAAGTACATCCTGACTGCACTAGCACTGTAAGTTTAGCCACCTTTTCTTTGAGCTCTCATTGTCACTACACATTCAACTAAATCTGTGCCCCACCACACTATCTCTCTGTTTTTACAAAGTCTAAATATATTTCTGCTTCATTAATCAGTTCTTTCAAAAAGCCACAGCTGCCTCACAGTTTCAGAGCATTTTGTGAATAGCTTGTTTGTTTGTGGGTGTTCTAAGTATAAAGTGCATCTGTGAGTAAGAAGAGCAGCGGCAGACAGAAAAGGAAACAGAAAACTATTTAGAAAGAAAATAAATGTGCATCTGTCCTCATTCATGTGTAGCATTCACTTTGTATAACATAAATAAAATGCTGACTGCTTAGGCTGACAGAATTTTATCCCTCACCCCAGTTTGGCTCCTAGCCTCTGCATGCTGCTGTAGTCCATCAATGTGTCTTTTTCCAGGAAGGGAAACTCCTCATACTGTACTTGCAAGGGCTCCCGCTATAAGTGAAGACAAGACGCAGGAGGGTAAAGAAGGCAACTGAAATGAAATCAGCCAGCACACTAATTTCCGAGCCATGAAAGAAAAACAATGTGGCATCGTAGTGAGAATGTGGGTTTTTCAAGAGGTGAGCCAACGCAAACACTAACCTCAGCATTTCTTTGGACAAAGTTGCGTGTGATACGCAGCATATGTGTGTACTCTGTCAACTCCAGCAGATTCCTCTGCAGCTTCTCCTTATTCCTGGTGACTTCACCTAATTCCACCTCTAGCCTCTGTAGCTGTTCCTGAGAAACAATAGGAACGTGTAATAATTAGCAATACATGACAGCAATAATAATACTAAAAATGATGATTATGATAAAAAATAATAATAAGATAGTAACTAACCATTATAGTCATGACATGCTTGGGTAAAGGAGCTGCTGGGTTCACATCTGTTTCTGGCAGTGAAATATCTGCTTTCTTGATTTCCCTCAGAAGGTATCCTGTTATAAATAACAAGTGATTTTTAACTTTATGAAACTATCATAACCGCTTCCAAACACCGTGACCAGCCTTTGAAAAACACTGAAATTGAAGACAAGTCTGACAGTGTGCTACTCTCTTCCTAATTTAATAATCCAGGGTTTGGTTAACCTAGTTAAGCATTCAACTAAATCTACATCCCATGACTCGATTTACCTTCAGTGAGGAGATCTTCTTCCCACCATAAGGAGCCAAGAACTATTAAAATGTCAAAGACTAACATATGCTTACCGAGGATCCTCTCCATTTCTTCACATTTTTTGATCTCATTGACATATTTTCTCTGGAATGCGTTAACAGTGGGATTGAGCTGAAACAGGTGAAAAGTACATGTTCGTTAGCACCTTCCCATGCAGGACTCTGAACATATGTCATGAATAAACTTAAAAAATTGTGCAATAAGTCTATGTATGATCCCATTTATGGTAGCATTATGACATATGACGGTGACTTCCGCGTTCACTTTATGTACTAAGCAAACGTTACTGCATTATTTGATGACTGTAGAGAACTTTTAGAGCACTGTCAAAAAATTCAGCTACAACTTTTTAAGTGATGAATTACTGTTTCCAGCAGATTCAAAGCGGTCTGTTTTCGTACTTACATCTCTGAACTCTACAAGCCCCAGTTCTCCAAGTTCACTGATGCAGTCGTACGCGGACCCAGACTGTAGAAACAGCTGGGCCAAACACATCTCTTCACCCCGGAGCAGAGAAGCCATCGTGACAGTTCAATCTGATATTCCCCTCTTCCGCACGTTCGGCTAATGTTAGCAAGCTAAACGGTGCTGTTTCTCCAGACTTTATGTTAGCAATGTTCAGTCGAGTAGTCCGTAGCCCTTGTCATGATGTGGCTCAGGTGATAAAACTAGACTTCCCTTACATAACTCCTGATTTACATAGCAATCGTTACAGCACACTTTTGCTGTTAGCTAGCTAACTGGCTAGCCAAGTGCCGTGTTGTTGACTCTTGGATGGGGAAAAATGTTTCAGTAAAGTTGAATGTGAAGCTAAGAAATTATAGGTGTTACGACCGCTAAAATCCTAGTACGTGGCGAAAAGTCTTCTTAGACTTTACGAAGTTTTAGCCTACGTCCGTAACACTCACGTCACTGCACTTCACACTGTTGAATGCGATCAACTTCCACGGCACCCAGTGTACCTTTGACCAATGACGGCAGCCTCCTGGAGTCTGCGCACAACACAGTCAACATAACACTAAGCCCTGAACGCTGACTGAAGGTTCATGACCTGAAACAAAAACTTCGAGGTTTTAGATATTTTTCATTGGATTCTTTACATACAGTGTAATGACAAAGTATTTTCCACCTCCTTACTATTTTTGCATAATTTTCACACTTACATGTTTCAGATCATCAAATTTTAATATTGATAAATAAAGACAAATTAAGTAAATAGAAAATGCAGTTTTTAAATAATGCTTTTATTTATTAAGTGAAAAAATCCCAACCCAATCCAAACCTCGCCAGATGTGAAAAAGTAATTGTCCTAACTTGTTAAATTGTGAATTAACTGTGATTAACCACAATATTTTGAAAGCTAGATTCAGTGGCAAAAAGCCATAGTCGTGCCTGATTACTGCCACACCCGCAGAATCTGTTATCACTTAAAAAGACCAACTGTCTGACAAAGTGAAGTACACTAAAAGACCTCAAAAAGCAACACATCATGCCACGTTCTAAAGAAACAGCTGAGAAACAAAGTCCTTGACATCTATCAGTCTACAAAGTGTTACAAGGCCATTTGTAAGACTTTGGGACTTAAGTGAGTGAGAGCCATTATCCCTAAATGGAGAAAACATGGAACAGTGGTGAACTTTTCCAGCAGTGGCTGGCCTGCCAAAATTACTCCAAGATCGTGCTGATGACACACTCACGAGATCACAAAAGACCCCAGACCAACATCTAAAGGACTGCAGGTCTCACTTGCCTCAGTTAAGGTCAGGATTCATGATTAAAGTAAGAAAGAGAATGGGTAAACATGGTACGCATGGGAGAGTTTGAGAAGAAAAACACTGCTGACCAAAAAAGAACACAAAGGCTTGTCTCACATTTGCCAAAAAAACATGGTGATGATCCCCAAGACTTTTGAGAAAAGTTTTCTCAAAAACTTTTTGGAAGGATTGAGTGCTGTTGCATCTGGTTTAAAAGTAACACAGAATTTCAAAAAAGAGCAGCAGTCCAACAGTCCAACATGGTGGTGGCAGTGTGATGTCTGAGGCTGCTTTGCTGCTTAAAGACGTGTTCAAATTGCTGTAATTGATGGAACCATGAACTCTGAATGTCCAGCCATCAGTTACTATGCTGAAGCTCAAGAGCACTCAGATTATGCAGCAGGACAATGATCTGAAAAAAAAAAGATCTGCCAAGCGTGGCACAGCCAGTTATTAGATTTAAGGGCATATTTAGAACTGGGCTAGGTATGTTTGGATAGCTTTTTTCTATGAATGAACTAGAGTTTGTATTTACTTGAGAAAAAGAACGTTTTTTTCTTTTTTTTTTTTAAGTTTGATTTTTTTTTGTTGTTTTGAACCCCTTTTACCAATTGGTTAAAAAAAAATAATCAGGAAGGCAGCAAATCCTTTTTCACAGCACTGTACCCCAAATTTTGACTTGTGGATGGCTTTCTTTTCAGTGGCAGAAGCAAGCTTCTACAGGAGGTAAAATAGGTCGCATAAATCTGATTTCACAGACAGAATAAATCTATATTTTATCATTTAGGTTCTTCTAAAACCATTTTGGAGTCATGGTTATGACGCTGTTGAAGTGAGCTGCAAATATTAGGAAGTTTATTATGTATTGTTGAAAAAACAGAGAAACTGAGACAATGAGACCCTCCTTAAAAATTACATTTGAATCAGCACTTCCCCAAAATGGCTATTGAACTGCATTATTCATACAATAATTTTTAGCAATCTTAGCACATACATTGGTAACTGGCTGTCACTGAGTATGTACAAGCCATATCATCAAAAACAAATGAAAAGAATAACATAGTAATTTAACAGCCCAAACTAAAGCCTAATTGCCCCAAATCCTTTGTTTGAGTTCATTTGTGTAATTTCCCTGTTTCCATTTTGTTGTGCTGTTAGTGTATTCAGAGCAGTAAAGAAGACGCCAGAGGTTCATTTATACTATGTTCCATTTTCACTGTGTATCTAGTGGACATTTGAAGATAGTACACAGAATAGTTTGTGTAAAAATAAATAAAATGTAGATTCAATAAGTGTGATGACTAAAAGAGTGTAAAAAAAAAAGAACAATTACTCTAAAAATAAAATAGTGCAAAATGGAAAGGAAACACATATTAACAAAAGAGGAAGTGATGTGGCTGCGTAGACACACCTCATCACAAAGTGCACACTGCAGCAATAAACAGCAACAAAACGCTGACTTATGCACACCTGTGGCTGCAATAAATATCGGCCTGTAGGCGGCATTCAGTAATGATTTGATGATTATCTCTTACAGCATGAAATACCACATTAATAAATACTGTCAGCACATTGTCTCACAAATAAATACTTTTTTTTTTTTTTTACTTTTTTCATTAATATTCCTGCTTCTTAATTTAAATTGAACTGGTGATTTATTTCTGTATCACTCTGTGACATCAACTTTGAGGTAATTTAAATTACTTTTACTATAAAATATAGTAAATAACTTTAAACCCAGGTCTATAATCCTAAGGAACAGTAACTGTGTTACAGCTGTTGCCTGTCTGTGTGACGCTGAAATAATATTTTGCTTCTGGGTGATGACCCTGAGCCATGTGAGAACAATTGAAATCTGAAAAAACAACAACCAAGAATCAAGTTCCATGCACTGAGAAAGTAATAGAAAAATATTTTTATTGCAAAAAGGTTCACAAATACAACAGTTTATACTCCTACAACAATCATAGGAATAAACATGTAAGTTACTATGTTATTAAGGAAAAGGTGTCATTATCCTCAGTGACACTTTAAACCATCATCACTGAGTTTTAGTGAGCAGAGTTGTTCCACGCCTGTCTGATTTGTCTCCACGGGGTGCCAAGAACTGAGGCAACGATAAAGAAGAAAACCAAGATCATGCCCTTAGCCAGTGACTGAGAAAATGGCTCGCCTGTGAAGGATAAAGGGAAAGTAGGTCACTGACTGTAGTCTCAGTAATCTAAACTTTTAGAAATGTTTCTAGGGGGAAAAAGTGAAACACATGAGGTTTTTTTTATTATCCACCTCAGGATCAGTTTTATTCACTAATGCATTTAAAGATACATTTAACCAGAATCCTATTAATCTAGAACTGATTTTGGTACAATTACACTGAATATTATATTGTAATTTGGAGTAGAGCCTGTGTTGCTCTTGTTTAACCTTTTAGGTCTAACAATGGATAAAATTCTTTTAAAACCACAAATAGAATACAGAGGAATTATTCTTGGGTAAAGACTCTTCTTAATTGACTAAATAATGTCCAAAAGGAAAGAGTAAAAACACTGCACATTTTCTAGAATTTAACAAATTCTCACCTGTGTAATACTTGGTGATGGGAAAGGCGAGTTCAGGCCAACACACATCATTCCTGTTACAGTCATATTCTGTAAAGTTTATGTAAAACCTAAGGGAAAAATTAATTAACAAAGCAACACTTTGTTAGAAACAAAGTACAGAGGAAGTTATTAATCGGCCTTTAATCTGTATCTGGTATAAAAACTGTTTCTGCTGGATTAAGCACCTGGTTTTTGGTGGTCTGGTGTTGATAGGAATGTCAATAAATGTGACAGAGGAGGTGATGGAGAACAACTGAGGCTCCTCTGGGTCCACACATGAAGAGATAGCACCTCCACCACAGTCCAGCGCCCAGTTAGATGGGCTATTGCTAAAACAGAACAGAATTCTTTATATGAAGTGACTCATTATGTGCAATAATCAATAGCCCCTTCTGAATAACAGCTATACTTTGCTTTGTAACCTGTAGGCATCTAATACATACCTGACTTGCAAAGCACGAATTTCCCTCTGAGGTACACCCTCTACCACGCTGGTGATAACACTCCAAATATGGATATGCAGGTGGGCCGGAATATCGTAACATGTACTTGTGCTGTTTTCCATTGCTGTGCTTGAGTTCAGTGGGACTGGAATTTATATGGTGTGAAAAACATTTAGAACCATAAAAAAAATACTATGGCAGAACTAGAATGGCAAAAAGGAGTTTAATATAATTAAAAAGTAGACAATTTTATTTTATTTTTTTTTAAAAAGGAAATTCTTTCTTTGCACTGTGTACTTACAGCTTATGTTTATCCAATCTGCCATAGTTAGAAAATCTGGGTTTCCACTCTTTGCCACATATGTGGCTGCAATCAAATCTGCCTGTAGGTTAGTAACAGTCTCTCTAAAGAGGAAAGAAACTATATTAAAAAACACATATATCTACATATATACATTAGAGTAGTAATCATGCAAAGCCACTGACCTCAGAAGGCTACACTGAGTTAGATTTTGCCGGCTGACAGGCAGCAAACACCCTGATGTTGAATTCTCTCCAAACAGAACCGGTTTCATCCCAGCAGTGGAACAGAGTCCATCACTCACTGGAAGGCAGATCAAAAAATGGAGATGACTGGTTATCTTCAATGTACAGTAAGTCAAATTGTTTGGACTGAAATGTACAGTCAAGTAAAAAATAATTTTATAACATTAATAACATTTTCACAGGACTCTGTGAAATCCCGTGGAAAACTAAGTGCCCCCTTAATAGTTCCATAGTAATGAAGAGGGTAAGTAGCACCCGGAGGCTCCTAATCAAAGACTTTTTATTAACTGCAACGCACCATTCAAAGTCCAGACCTCACCCTGATTGAAATGCTGTGACAGGACCTAAAGAGAGCTGTGTATAAACAAAGCCCAGAAGGCTTGACTAAAATTCTTTCACAATGATGTGAAAGACTGATCAAGTCATAAAGAAAATGATCACTTCAAGTTTTTGGTACTAAAAATGGCTCTGCATGCTCCTGAATCATGAGATAGTTTTTCACATAAATGCACAGAGTCCTGTGAAAACCTTCTTTTTTATATGGCAGTATGTAGGTTACATGCAGTCATCTACTAATCAGCAATCTTTATGGGTTTTACCTGGTTTCCAAACATTAACTGATGTCCTTTTTATTAAGTCTGTGTTGTTGTCCAAAGCTTCCACAATTCCAGCAACAACAAGCCTTCCCACCTGGTAACCTGTCATTAAAAATGTGTACACATGTTATTCCCAGGTACTGTAAATACTTTATTTTATACAAAACCTCCTCTTGGTCCTACCTGGGTTGCCTGAGTTTGGCTCGCCAGAAAATTCTCCATTTAGAAATGTGGCAGAATACTTTGTGGTTAATGTTGCTGTTAAGACAAGAGAGTACCAAAAATGAGTTTAAACTACAGGAAAATAAAACAATATTAGTCAGAACCATTAGTCAAGCTAAACAACGGCCAAGTGTTATAGCACTTACCAAGACTATTTAAAATGATAGTCCCAATAGTCCTTGTCAGCGTGATGCCTGTGATGCCATTTTCTCTCCAGTAAAACTTGTAATCCAGCGCTAACGTCAAATTTTCACAAACGAGCATCTCATCTTTTGAAAAAATACCCAAACATGCCAACATTAAGGTCGATTAAACATTTGAGTTATGTTAGTAATGCAGTAATTGTATGTGGATACCTGAGGGGGCAACTGCATCTATTATGGAAATAAATGGACTCGTATCAGCAGCCACTTCATCAATTACATCCACCACGACATCACCTGAAATACAGGAATAGACAAAACCATTTTTAAACAGCTCGACATTCAGATAGCTTTAAAACACTTCAAAGCTTTTCTATAATTTATTATATTTAAAAACTACCTCCTTGTCCATTCTTCACTTTAATGCTTAGATTTCCTGACAGTGTCTGTAGAGGATATCCAGTTGGACAGGAGAGCAGCAGAGTTGTACACTCATAGTTGAAATTTTTCAGAAATGCTACAGGAGCATTGTTTACACAAAGTCCAAGGACCTTCTGTTGAACAGAACAGTTGTTACATTAAGTGTTAGCTGTCAATGCTTTGGAATACTTACATATAAAACATTCCTATAATAAAAGGCATTAAATACACTGGTCCCTCGCTATATGGCGGTTCACCTTTTGCAGCCTTGCTGTTTCTTGGATTTTTTTGAGGTGCAATTTTGCGTGCTTTTTTTGTCTTTTTACAGCGCATTGTGTTCTGTGTCCCGATTAGCTGACCATTGTCAATCAATCTCATGCTGTTACTCCTGTACAGTACGGAATGCGTTCAGCTTGTCAAATTTACATAAATCTTTGATCGCTAGCAGTGTGACTCTGAAGTGCTGTACTGTATGTTTGTAAGTTTTCTCCCCAACAAACAACAATGTCGACGAAATGTCATCACCTGCGGGTCCCTTTGGTTTCATTCTATTATACCGCACTTATTTTTCTACAAGGTTTGAACTTTGAGAGTGTTTAAACAAGACAGACAAGTGTAAAAATGTTCATGCCCGTCTGAGAAAAGTGTATAAAGAGTGTAGTGAGGGGTTTTACAGCCTTAAAACATCTATAATAATTGTAAAAAATAAAGTTGGCTACTTCGTGGATTTTACTTATTGTGGGTTATTTTTAGAAGGTAACTCCCGCGATAAACGAGGGGCCATTGTACACGCTAACACTAACCTGAGGAACAGTGAAGTATTTGCCATTTAATGTGAAAATTGGATTTCCTTGAATATAAACATCAACTGGGACTGGAGCTGGCAAAACTGGACTTTGGAATGATGGACCAGGCTTAGGTGCACTAGACAGGTGAAAAGACAAATGATGATAGCATGACACATGAAATTCCTTGATAAGTTGCAAGACTGAAATATATTTAAACCTTTCTCACATTGTGTCTCCCTTGTAAAAGTGACCAAGGTAAGGGTTGTTTTCAGGGGGAGAGTTGACACATAAAAATGGAAACCAATCTGGGGAATTTTCTGTGGACTGCACAGAACACTGATAATCTGGAGCAGGAGAGACCTGCCCACCGAAGGGTCCTGGCAGACAATGGGATGAGAACAGCTTCAAATCTTCATTGGAACAATCCTGTTGAGGGGGAAGTCACAAATTAATCATTTGATGATCAATACGGAAGAAAATATTTGTCTGACATCCACACCTGTCTTTTAAAAAATATTACCGTGTCACAACAGCAGAGTATGTCACACGCTCCGGATGTCAGGTCACAAGGACAAGGGCCCAGGGGCTGGTACACTTGGTTTGGAATAACTGTTTTATTATCTGAAATGGAGATTTCAATTTTTGTTGTTTGAATTTTTTTTTTTAAATGAAAGCACATTACAGTGAGACACAAGATTCATTTGAATTACCAGATCCAGGATTAGCAGGAACCAACAGGGCATGTATCTTAGCCTGGATCAGCAGTGATGCCTGGGGTGTACCGTCCACACAGGCAGACACCTGAAGGGCTTCCAGGATGCACAATGCTCTTTGACAGCAGTCTGTGTTTGTATCATTGTTGCCACATAAATGCAGACTTTGATTCAGTCTTAGATGAACTCGAACTGCAGTCTGGGACACCAAATGAGACAAACAAGACCATGAAGAAAATGCATGCCCAAGGATCAACTTTATGAAATTAAATTTTTGTTGTAATTAATTCAGGTGCTTGTGTCTTACTTCATCATTGTTGCATCTGTTCACTGTTCATCTGTCTTTAGCTGGTTGCTAACTGTCCACACCAGATAAAGGTTGGAGTTGAGTAGTCTAACAAATTACCTTCAACCTCTTTTTCCTAACCACTTTTCCTTAATCACTATGGAAAGCTTCATGTGGTCAAGGAAAAGAGTGAAGATGAGCGTATAAAGACTCAGGAAAATAGACTTTATCAATGCGACAGTGGATGTCTAAAACACTGTTATCTATAATTTGGACTAGAGTGTAACCCCAATGTATGTTTAGCCTTATTTTTTCAGGCAGGTCATATAAACAAGAACCACCAGTGAAAATATCACTTCATTGCAAATGCAATATCACTTCACTGGTTTGAATTTTAAAGAAAGAAAAAAAAAGTATAATCTATATAATACATTTCTTATCTTCTTATTTTTCTGATCGAGAGTGATTTGGTGAAAATCCTTTTATTCTCCTCGTTTATAGATTTCTAGGTCTTCCATTCATCACATATCACAGCAGACCAGAATTAAAAATGAATAAATAAAGATCCTAAAAATTCAACAACAGGCATTACTGATGTAAATTGAACTACAGCAAACTTAAAAGCACTTTGAAATTGTAAATATAATTTATAATCTTCATTTATTCTGGGATGGTTCATCCCTAGGAATTATTGAATGAATAATTATAGGCTGACTTGAGAGCGCCACCACATCATCCTCTCCTCACTTTATATGTACATTTTTAACTCAGATCAATTTATTAATTAATATTTGAAATAAACTTCATGCTTCTAACAACTCTGGTGTGTATTTTCTCCATTTTATGCCACAAAAAGGACAGGACAAGTCTCTTACCTTTCCTAGCTGCTCCCTTGTGAGGATCCAATTTGTTTCTTCTGCTACACATGATGGAGAACCAATGTTTCCTGTTAAAAGGAAACCATCAACAACAACCAGATGCGTCCAAAATTAACACTACTACTGCTAAATCCTTCTCATTTTTTCGAGTTTCTAAGCTGTGAATTTTTAAAATGCAGTTAACTAATTAACCTAAAGACACTTGTTTTTTCGTGTCTAAACTAGTACAACAATATCACCGCCAGCCCATGCTGGGGGGACCACAGAAGATATGTGTCCTAGAGCTTTTACCTGTTGTGTTGGATGGAGAAACTGTCCTCAGGCTAAGAGAGATAGCCGAGGTGTTTCCCAGCAAAACTGCAGTGACCACTGGTCCCGTTGTAATCACAAAGGAAGGCTGGAAAACTTTCAAAACAGTTATGTCACATATTAGCTACAAAAATTCACTAAAAAATTAGCAACTGCTCGTTTCTCAGGTAGGTTTTGCGAAGGTACCGTCAGCTATTTTAAAGCAAATTAAATATAAGGTCTTACCGACAATGTTTTGAGTGTAAGCCAAGCAAGCGAAGAGTAAAACATGTGTAAAGAACGAAGAATATAATAATACGACCACATTAGCCATTTGGTTCGCCTCAGGAAGTCGACATATTTGTAAACTGTTCGTGATGTCCTAGCAACGTCCTTAACCAATCACAGCCCACGATGAGACCGGAGAGGCTCTCGCTTAACGGAAACAGTTAAATAAAGAAGAGCGACATCATCTGGTCAGGAGTGGTTTATACTTACAGGCTCAGAACCTCACTGGCCTCTGGTGAAGAAAAGCATCGCAAAATATTACATTATATTATATTATATTGATTGATTGATTGATTGATTGATTGATTGATTGATTGATTGATTGATTGATTGATTGATTGATTTTATTTTTCTCCAATACATCCCACGATTCTGTGGATACAAAGTACCAGAATAATGAGAACTAAAAAGTCCGTCAGTAACATCACAAAATCAACTAGAAACTCTTAAAATATTAACAATATATAGATCAACATTTGAGGACAGTATATATAATATTTAGCAAAAGGGTCAGTAATTAAAGACGCGTCACACTTGTGTGTGTCAAAACAAAACTACACATAAAATCCAATAATAAAAATTTGTCACTATTTTTTCTGTTTGTTTGGTTTTTTGTTGTTGATGTTTTGTTTAATTGTTTATCTGGGTTTTTTTTTTTGCAAACCAGTACAGTTCAAATTTGAAAATCTATGGATAGCAACAATAACACTTCGGCCTCTAGGTGGCAGCATGCGGCTGTAAGTCTGCGATAACAGCTGCTATAAAAAATAGTAGAAGAAGAGTCTTGTCACGTGACCTGTAAATCAACGCGCTCGCTGGGTGTCTGGAAACAGTACACATCTGTACTGTGGAATCGGAGTGATGATGCTGGGGTTTGAAGACCTGCTGAGAAGTCTGCAGGACTGTGTGATCACCGAGAATGAAGCAGCTGTGGACGTCAGCCGGACTCTGAGGCAGTTTCTTCAGAAACTGTCTGAATCGTCCAGGTAGCAGCTGCACCTCAGGCACACATATCTATTTTCTAAAACACTGCATGCTGTTCTGAAAAGTTTGGATGAATAAGTGTGCTTCCGTGAACAGGAGCGGCGTGAAGAGATGCAAGGAGCGCTGCTTGGAGGAAGCTGTCCAGCTGCTGAGACAACTTTCTGAAGCACAGCTGTCTGGTTTAGAAAACGACCATCTCACACTTCTCGTCAGGCTGCTCATATCCACGCAGCTGCAGATGGTCGGCATCTCCACAGCTTGTCGCAAAGTGGACCAGGTTGGCTTTACTTTGTGTCAGATGTGGCTGTTCGCTGCTTAAAGAGAGAAAAGCACATTTACACCTTTATTTTATTCCTTAACAGATGTTGCAACATTTAGCAAAGGTGGACCACCAGCTGGTTTTTAGAGAGACCCGTGAGTGTTTCCACTCCGTAGTCCACAGTGACCAGGTACAGAGTCCTCACTTCGCTTTGGTTTGTCGCACATTTCCATAAAAGGACTGCAGCTAACTTTGACCTTGTCTTCATTTCAGATTTTGTGTTTTGAGGATTTGCAAAGAGGTCAGAACAAATTTAAACTTACATTTATTTTTAGTAAGTTGCCACCTTTAACTTGTGTTTAACTGTTGTTCCTGTGTGTATATATATACACACTGTCTGCAGCTTGTATGTTCCTGGAAGACAGCACTGTTGGCCGTGAGGTGTGGAGAGAGTCGTACATGTCCATGCTGAACAAAGTGTCTGAGTTACTCCCTGTCGCACTGCAGCAAGAATCCCTGAGAGATGGACCGCTGTGCTACATTACAGTCAAGGTATGCGAGGAGCAGTGTGGATCATCATCAACTTACTGCATGACCTCTGTCACTGACCGGAGAACTGTAATCTCTGCAGGTGTGTTTGCAGATATTCCAGCTGTTGTCCAGTGAAGTTGCTCCTCTGGTGTGGGATGAGGAACAGAGAGCCCCAGTGCAAAAGATCCTGCAGACCCTCATGGCCATAATACTTGGACAGGTTTCTAAAGAATTAATTAATCACTCACTTACGGGATAAATGTCAGCTGTTACAGCTTAATGCTGACTGTGTCCTGTCGTGCAGTGCTGCAACAGAGACACTCGTCTTCTTGCCGGCACCGCCATGGCCATGCTGATCAACACAGCCTCAGAGAACGGAGCTGGAGGAGCTGCAGCCTGGAGTCTGCTACAGGTCTCTCACTTGGGTATGGAAGCAGTGACATGAATGTAGAAGCAAATCAAGCACTGGAATTTGAACAGATGTTTACCCAAGCGAACGATCTGCCAATACATGTAATATATGTTGCACTATGTCTAAAAATTGATCAGAAACTATGCACACAATGTGTTATCACAGATTCTACAGCACACGGTAAGTGTGTGGACACTCGTTGCTGAATAGCTCCCACTTCCTGTTATTTCTCAGAGCCCTGGCTGCTGGCTGTCGGTGTTCTCCGGGTGCAGTGCGACCCTGCAGAGAAGGACGGAGTGGCCAGACTGGCTGTTTGCAGAGGTCTCCTGACCTGCTGTCGACCTCACATTTTGCTCAGTTCACATGAGGACGCCCCAGAAGTAAATCTACCTGAAGTCCACCCCAGAGCATGCATTGTGGTTGTGCTTGCTTTCATTTCCAAACTTTTCTCTTTAGAATCGCCTGCTGCTGCACGGTTTGTTTCCTCTGGTGTTTACTTTGTGCGAGGAGAAGCTGGATTGTCACTACTTTGCCTTCGAAGGTGAGTTGCTGCCTAAGCTGTTTGTTCATACTTTGCAACACTTCTGTCGCCTACATAAACCTGAGGTGTTGTTGCAGTGTTAAACTTATGGCTGAAGAAGGTGAAAGAATGTCTGGCTGATCTGTGGAAGGTGACACGTGTTCGCCTTCTTCCTGACAACTGCACTCTGCTGCAGCAGCTCATTCACCTCATCTGGACCAATGCAGAAAGCCCGGTGAGAACAGAACAGAAAAAAGTGAAGTGGGACATTTTTTAATATTCAAACTCTTTGATAGACAAAACTGGCAATATGGAAAGAATTACAGAGGACAGGAGTAGGATAGGCAGAGGAAAGGGGAGCAGAAAAAAAAAATCCTATCATATCCTACTCCTCTCCTCTATAATTCTTTAGTAACCATGATTGTAGATTAGTCAACTTACTTGTATATTTTATGTCTGATAAACAACAGACTTAAAATAGACTGTAATTGGAATCAAATTTGTTTATATTCTGTCTTGGTTGATGTCATATTAGCTGCTCAATTAATAAAGTCATATTACAGCCAGGGTTGTCGTACTGTGCGTTTGCAGGTGGACGGGGTGTCAGAAACTGCTCGCAGTGCATTTTTTCTGCTGCTGGATCTCTATGAGATGGACTGTAAACAGTTCTGTGACACAAAGAGGGCTCTTTATCTTACTCTGCTCGAGCGAATAATGAAGCTACCTTGGGAAGCCAAAGCTAAGTATCATCGCCTGTGCGCCTTGCTGCCGTATCTGGGTACTGACAAGGTGAGAATTTACGGGCAGTTACAGTGTTAATTAATGTTGTGAGCTAGTCATTATTGGTCATGTCTTTGTTTACTTTTTCTGTCTTTCTTTTGCCCTTCCTGTCTTCAGCTGCTGGATCAGTGTCCTGAAATATCCAGTCATCTCCTGAAGTGCTTGTCTACCAATCACCTGGCACCGTGTGGGTCAGAGCTTTATAAAAGTCTGATCCAGCAGCAGAGGCGAGAGCTGTGTGGTGGCTCTTCTTCACACGCGGAGCTGGATCTGGCGAGTCACTGGGCACGGCGTTGGCAATCTGTCCTTCATGAGGCGCTGACATCTGAAGTGCCTCTTCTACAGAACTACAGTGCAACGCAGTTATTACCCTGCACCTTCCAGGTGTTCCCCTCTGCTGTGGACCACATGCTGGCCTCCCTGGACCCATACACCCCAGGTCACCTCCACGCCTGGGCCTGCATCTTGAGCTCTTATCGAGCTGTAACTGGAGACTCCCTCTGGGCCCTTCAGGGTAGTTCCACCTTAGAGACCCTCCAGCTAGCTCTAGGATCTGCAGATGACAAAGTACGACTTGCTGCTCTCAATCTGCTCTGCTGCTGCCCGAAGACCAAAGACACACCAACTCCACAGGAGATGGCGATCATGAGGACGTTCATACCTCAGAATCTAAACTGCGACTCCTCGCCTTTTCGCCAACATTTTCAGGCTGGAGTGAAGAAGTTTCTGATTCGGATCAGAGATGGCTGTTTGGCATATGTCAGAGGACAGAAGGGCAAAAAGAAAGGAGAATCCTCTCACTCGGAAAGGACACAGGATCTCTTAGATCAGGGAATAGGTGAGAAAATCATTTACCACACTGTATATGTGGTCTTTTTTGAATGAGACCTTTCTAGTTCCTAATTTTTGTCCTTAGACTATACTAGAGTAGCTTTGCATGATTCACAATTCAAAATAATCCCCATTTAACCTACACCAGGGCAGTCAGGTGGTCCTCTGTATGAAACAAACTCTCCTCCCTTTAAGGCGATCGTTCCTTTAAGCCAGTTTCTTCTGATTGATAGGCAGTCTCAAACAGGTTTGAACAGTGCGTAGGTGAGTGACTTCTTCTTTTCATATGTCATATAGGATTTGTGGAATGGCTGAGTCAGCTTCCATACACCTATCTGGCACCAGGACACAGTTATCAGAGAAAGAAGACGGCATTGCTGTTGCTCTCAGCAGTGCTGGAGACCTGCACAGACACCTGGAGCCCAGACAGGAAGAAGGGACAACCTCCGGGTACGTTTGGAAAATGTGATGCTGATATTCTACACTTAACAGATTTATTGTTTTTGGCTTTTAATGATATCTGTGGAACATGTTTGCAGCAAATATCAGTTCTCTCATTAGCTGTGCCAGACAGAGAGGACAGTGGGATTTCTTCTGCAGGACGAAACAGCTAGTACTTCTCAGCTGTTTAGAAGATTCTACAAATGAGGTAGAGACGTTTCTTACCTTGAAATTTTAATTGGCTTAAATCAATCGAAGCTGAATATAAGGAATTCTCTCCCCCCCTTCCCCAGATTCGGGAGCTTGCTGCTGGGTTATTGTTGAGATTTTTTCCACCCAGTTTTCTAGATGATCTCACTGAAGTGCTGCATACGAGAACTAAACAGCTTCTATGCAGTCCCCGGGTGCAGGAGGCCCAAATGGGAGCACTGATGATGAAGATCCTCCTTCAGAAGTAAGAACTGCTCTCTAAAGGCTGTCGTTCTTATTACATTTCTTATTTTTTTGGCATGTGGATTCAAAGCACAAGCTGTTGATTAATTAAGAGTTGCAGTCTATTAGACAGGGGTGTGTTTTGGTCCCCTGAAATATGTCACTGTTGCACAATACTGTAGCATTCCCAATGCTACAGTGGTTTTCTTGCTTTTGGAGAATTGAAATGATAAGATTCTTTAAATGGTGCTGTAGGTACATAAACTCCTGATTGTGTAGACGCAGTTGGCAGTCAAAGGAACAATTTGCATTGCCTGCTGATAATACAAAGGAACTTTAGAAAATGCTTCACAGGTAGTGAGATTTCTTTGGCAGGGGAAGTTACTGAACACCCAAACTTTGTGAAAAAACATAAATCAGGGTTAACTGAGATTAGTAATATAGTTGCTAAAATAAAAAGACATTTCCACTAGAAGCACATGTGATTTTTTTTTTTTTTTAAATTTACAGACGTACCAGAAGCTTTGTTCTCATCTCACACTTAATAAGAACCAGCTCACTCAAAACAGAGCTGCCACTGCTCATTGAAGAACAGTACAGAAAGGATGGCGTGCAGTTTAGTCTTTTATATAAGAAACTTTTGTGGCTTGAAAATACTTCTTTGTATTCACATGTAAGATGAACTAAGGAGACACAGTATTATGAATCCAGACATGCAATGTTTTACATAAAAACAGAGCTTTGTTTTTAGCATTGATAATTGTAATGTGCATCAAACTGGAACAAACTGCTTAAAAACAGCTTCTCACTGATGACATTTATTCGTTGTATATTTTGGACTCTGATTGGACTATTTAGATTCACTGTGGTGTGACGATCGGATCCATTGTGCCGGGGTTTTTTTCTGGGGACACCAGGAAGAAAATTAATTACCATTTTTTTGTCACTGTAGATCAAAACACCAGTGTGAGGACTGCAGGCTGAACAGTAGGGAAGGTAACTCAAAGGCCTTCTGCATGGTTAAAGTCCTGGTGAAGGAGCTCGAGGAGCACTATCTAACAGCCAAGGCAGACATGATGCTTGCTGCCAGAGAAAAGCCTATACATGGTGAGACTGAGAGACATTTAGGATAAATTTACATAAACCTCAAAAACAGTTTCAGTCCTTTAAATCCTCTCACGAATTGGGTTGCAGGTGCTCTAAGTGCTCTTCAGAGGTGTTTGCTTGAGACACCCAACAGTGTATATGACACCCTTGACCCCAGTCTGAACATGGAGGTGCTGGGCCTGCTGGAGAACATCTCTCTGCTGCTGCTCGGTGTTCTTTACGGAGATCCAGAAGCATGTGCCAGCGAGAAGGGTAACAGAACAGTCTGCGGAAACACTTCTTACTTAGTTCAGATTTATTTCTACACCTCTCAAGAAATTACTCTGCCTCGTCCTAGATGCACCGCCTTCCTTTTGTGATATGGGAAATGCCATCAGCTCTCTGATAGCCCAAACATCTGCAGGTGGCCAGGCAGAGGGAGAGGAGTTTGTCCTGCTCTCTGAGGAGCACAGCCTTGTTCTCACCTGCTGCTGGGTCTCCCTCAAGGTATAGCTGTAGATGTAGATGCACAAACTGATTGCTGAACGTTGAAGATGTTTTTACCACTTTGATAAATGTGCATTATTTGTTTTCTTATCAGGAAATAGGAATATTTTTAGGCTCTTTGGTGGAGAAAATTCTCACACAATCCAAACAACCCAGCAAGTGCCTTCTAACAAAACAGGATCTAATAAAAGCTGCAGAAATATTCAAGAATATTCTTCTCAAATGCCGTCACTGGGTAAGTTTTATAGAGCCCACTGAGAGGCACTGAGTCTGGATGTTTTAAACTTTATAAAAACTATATTTTTTCCTCACCAGGGGGCAGTAGAGGGATGTTGTATAGGTTTCACAAAGTTCTGCGCTTCTCTGTTGAGCAGCAGTGATCCAGAGCTCAGGGATATCCCAGCCCAAATGCTGAAAAAAGTAAGTGATGGTGCATTCTCGGGTTGAAAGCTTTACACGGATTGTTGGCTTTTAGATTGAGTTTTTCCACTCGTTTCCGTTTACAGGGACTGCAGGTTGTTCAGTGTCTTCGTTCTACATCTGTGACCCGGCGGGCTGCGGGGTTGCCTATGCTCATCCTGTGCATTTTGTCTGCAGAGGAAGCGAGTAAAGCAAGACCACTGTTAGCCCACAGTATGCAAACCTTGCTGGAAACAGCCAGAACTCCTCTAAATGATGACTGGGACCAAACGTTGGACCTGCCACAGGTGCGTAGCTACAGAGGGAAGATGTTGGTTTTTGTAATTAAAAAAGACAAAACAAAAAACAGCAGAGATGGTGGAATAATTGTGCTTTCCTCTTACAGGTGTGTGCAGTGCACATCCTGCAGGCTCTGGTGCGGAGCACGGCTTTGGGAGCAGCTATCCTTCAGTTTGCGTCAGATGTAGCTATCTTGTCGCTCACTCTGCTCAGCTCTCCTTGCTGGGCCATGAGGAACGCTGCTCTGCAACTTTACAGTGAGACACTCATTTAGAGTTTTAGTTTTACTATGTATTTGTAGTGTTTCATCATGACTAGTTTGTTAAATTGCATGTTACTGTGTTTTCTCCATCTTTAAATATCTGTACAAATACTAGAAATAGCTCAGTTTCCTTTTAAAGAAGAAACAGATTTTGATTATTGAGGAATACGGCTATTAAGTTCAGCCCCAAATAACCTCTGTTTCCAGGTTCTCTCTGCACACGAATGCTCGGCCAGCGGTCGACCTCTGAAGAGGCTGGCCCCACGCAGCATGCTATGTCTCCTGCTGCCTTCTTCTTCCACTATCCTGCACTCCAGCCCTTCCTCCTGGGCGAGCTGAGAGGGTCAGCACAAGACCTCGAGGGTCCACCCAATGAGGCCAAGCTACATCTCAAACCCTCGCTCTACCCTATTCTCACTCTGCTAGCCCAACTCCAGCCCGGTGTTCAAGACTCAGAAGAGTGTGTAATGTTTACATTTCTCTTAAACAGTTTGATTAGAAGTAAGATTGACCCATTACAGTGACTTTACAGTGTCACTGAAGACCAGTGATTTAAGGAAGGCATTTTAGGAAATTTTCACATTTGGTTTTTTGCTTAAAGTCAGATAAGAAAATCAATATTACTCTCATGTCTGCACAGTAAATATGTAGCTACAGCTGGCTACCATAACTACTGAGAGCATGAATAAAACATTTAGAAATAAGCAATCTCATTTTGCTGGAAAAAATAAGTATATTCATCAAAATGTTCCTTGTATAGGTCAGCATTTTGTTTCATTTATACATTTCTGGTATATGTTAGTTGCACATTAATACATCTCTGTATTGAGTAATATTTAATTAAGTGAATCTCCTGGCTTTTCTCCTTTCTTCCAGAACTTTGTCAGACTTCCTGCCTCCTTTACTCCAGCTGTCTGCCAGTCCGATTTACAGTGTGAGAATGATGGCCTCAAAGGCTCTGGTTGCCATGACTCCTCCCTCTGAGTACATGAACATCCTCATCAACCTGACATCTCAACTTCCCAGTCCACAGCAGCAGTGCTCTCACAACCGGCTCCATGGACAGCTGCTGCAGATCAAAGCTATTCTAGAAAGAGCTCTCAGCGGCAACAGGTGAGACTTAAAAGAGCTCTTTATTCTTTCATGTCACACTTTCAGGCTTTCAAAGGGCTTTGTTCATTCATCAGAATGTCGGGTTTTGAAATCCTGCTGCGTTTCCATTAGCAGCGCCCCTTCAGATGACCTGTTTGAGGTGCTGAGCAGGATAATAGCATCGCTGTGGATGGTGACTGAAGCTCAACGCTGCCCCCTGGTGAGAGCAGTCTATCTCGATGTGGTCGATGCTCTTAGAAGATTTTTCTGTGAGACCTACCTTTCAGATCTCAGCAGCACACTCCTGCGTGACCTCCAAACACCTCAGCAGAGTCTTCAGGTGTGTGAACTACTAACCCGTTTATTGGGCCCATAAAAGGTCTTCCAAAGCCTGATTCATGTGGCTGGTGCAAGTGTAGCTCCTTCATTTTATATAAAATAAGCACAAATGTGACTGTTATTGATATAATTAAAAAAAAATTAAGTACTCTTCTCTTGAACTCAGTCACTCAGTATCTAGTTGATTCAGAAAATATATTTGCAGCTGCTTTTACCACAAGTCTTTCTTTGTTTTTGCTTAATTTGCTCTGTATTGAGCCTGTCTATACCTGTTTCCACAGGTTGGGGTGTCATCCTTCCATGAAAAAGCCATTCACTTTCTTTGTGCAGATCAACAATGGGCATGCAAAATCTGGGAGAACTTCTCTTCAGCGAGCCCTGATCTTAGACTCACATTGATTGCATGGGTCCTGGATGGGCAGAGTTTGCGGCAGACTGGCTTGAAAGAAGTGATCCAGAGGGTGCTGCAGGTAAAACGTGATTTGTTCCCTACACTTGAGGCAACACAAAGAAAGCAGACTTTCCCAAAACCAGCCGAGCAGCTTTTTTTGTAACGACCTTCTTATAATACAATGAGAGGAAACATCGGAGCCAAAGATAATCTTAAATATAATGCCAGCCGAGGTTGACAGCTGGCAAAAGAAAGGGTGTGCCCGTACACTATTATAATTTGGAAAAAGGGCGACTCTAGTACAGTCGTGCTGAGGATATATTCCCTTTATATCACTTGTGTGTTACGTTATTGCTAAATCAACCAACTGCATTGTTTCCTGCCAGTGTAACTCACCCATTTTAAAAAAGATCCGATAAGATCCTGAATACCTGCAGACAGTGGGAAAGATGATTCTTTTGTGGTTTGGTGTTTATTTTCCAGCAGTTTTTTTTTTTTACCTGTTTATCTGATTTAGTAACAATGCACAAGCACTGCATTCAGTAAACTGAAAATAAAGAGAAATGATCTGTTAAAAGACAAAAAAGAACCTGAACGTCTTACAATCAAATCCACTTCCAGGCAAATTTAAGGGAGGCGTTGTTGAGCGGCAGTGTGGAGTACTGCAGGAGCTACCTCGCAGCCCTGGTGGCAGTGATGGTCAGAGGTGATACTGTTTCATCCCAGCGTGTTGTGCTCTTGGCCCCACTGGAAGAGCCAGTTCTGCTTGAGTGTCTGGATTTACTGCTTAGGGACGTGGAGGACCAGAGAGGCGGGCCAGAGTTTCTATCCCAGGCTTTCTCTGCTGCTAGCCTGCTGCTGTCCCATTGGCCACAATCCAGGTTTTTACACATTTTATTGCCCCACTTTATTTCTTTATTAAGTCCCATATTGGAGTACGTCTCACTGCAGCCCTAATTTTCTTCTTTTGCCAATCAGTCTAAAGATATCCATGATCCAGCGCTGGTGTGGTATTTTGGAATGCCTTTGGGCCCCAGATGTCCCTGAAGTGCTCAGGATAGCATGCGCTGAAGCTCTGTGTGTGGCTGGAGCGCCACTCATGAGCCACACAATGAAAGAATACAGCACTCTGGTTCCCATTATGATCAGGTAATGGAAGTCAAAGCATGTTGTCAGGTGATGCACTCTGATGAGCAAGACTTCAGAACACTGAATCTTCCCTCCTAGGTTGATCAACACAGGCCTTTACTTGCTGCAGGACCAAAGCCAGGAGGTGAGGATTAAAGCGGCTTGTTTCGCCTCCGTGCTCCACCATGCAAGAAGAGGCCAAAGCCAGAGGAATGTCTACCTTATGCAGGTCAATCAAGCTCTGCCATTCCTCTTAGATGTGCTGCTAGCGGAGTGCTGGGATGCTCCTGGCCCACTGGAGGTGCTGATGTGTCACCTGCCTCAGTCTGACCTCAGATCTGTGCTGAGACAGGCCTCGGTGGAGGGGTACGTTTCATCACTGAATCAATGCATTGGTACAAACATAACCATATAACCATATTAACTGCGTGTGGCCTATTGCTCCCACTCTCAGGTGTTCCAGTCTGTATGAGCAGGATGAGGCCAATGTGTTTGCAGAGCCCTCTGTGATGTCCGTGCATGTACTGCCTTACCTGCTACAGATGGCTGAAAAGTACTCTCAATCCTCTTCCCTGGCACGGAGCCTGAATTCATGGGCACGGGACAATGCTGCACAGGTGGTAGACGGCCTTGCAGTCTGCAAAGAATTCCAGCCAGGTGCCACATTAGCATGCCAAACTCCATATACATACTCTTGTATATTTGTGAATTTTCAATGTTATAATTCAATTATTTATTCTTTCTATAGCTGAATCATTGACCCCCTTATGGCTGGCTCTCCTTGTGGACCCCCGTTTCCACAGCACCCTGTGTGGCCTGTTGACCAGGGCTGCCTTCCTCCTCCGACTACTGAAAACATCTAATTATATACAACACCTTTGTGATCCTTTATCCGTGAACACGCATTTACAGGACGTTTGTAGTCTACTCACTCAGAACGGTGTCCACTTTCCTTCTGCTTTGACAGCTGCTGTGGCTGGAGAGCTGCCACTATGAGCAGAGCCTTTTTGGCTGATGTGGCTGTGGATAAAATTACCTGCAGACACTTGAAGAATGATGATGATGGCATACTCGTATAAGGGCCAAGGCGTGAATGAGTACTGCGGATCCTGATGCTGCAGTACAAGGTTATGTAAGAGCTGCTACCACTTCTGGGCATTATAATATTTGCTCTACAGAAAAGAGACCATCCAGGCTCTTCATGCCCACTGCACATATGCTTAAAAAAAAGAAAAGAAAAAGAAAACAGCTGCTCCTCCTAATCTCTAGAGGGATGTTAATGATACAATGCCTTTTAATAAAGTTTTATAACATTTTCTGAGAGTTGGTTCATTTCTTGCAGAGCTACAGTCACTAGAATAGCAGGTCTGTCTTTGATCACCATAAACAGTTTCCCAGCTACAAGTTTGCTGTGTCTGAGCATCGACAGCAGTGAGGCTCAGAGTGATGCAGTGATGTAATGCAACAGCATCTGGAGAAATCATCTGCCTGCTACCCACCAGGGGAATACAGTGCATGGTTTATTGTTCCATTAGAGGCCTTCTGCCTGGATAAGTGTTCCCTTTCCAACCACATGAGGGCTGATGATTATGGACTTGAATGTGTTTGAGAGCCAGCGGTTGCCCTGCAATAGACCGCACACTTGAGCAGTCTTACATCACTGCTTTTGTTTGAGATGGGCAGCTCTTGTTATTAGATAAACAGGGACATCAAAGCGGGTGTACATGCTGTGATTGGACATGATTAGTAGTGCAGCATTATCAGTTTATTTGTATCTGAACCTACCTCTATATGTGCTTGCATTGTGCATATATGAAGCGCTGCACTTGTGTGCATCTAGGTTATGCAACAGTAATGACTATAAGCTTGTATTAATGGCTCGTAGATTAAACTTACGCAATATGTCTTCTATGAGCCATGGCAAAATCCACACCTGAGTACTGTGAGATTAGCATGAGCCTCAAAGGAAACTGTGTGTGGGTCGTGTTGATACGGGCTCATTTTAAATAATGGAAGCAGGAGAACACAAGTGTGGGGGCCATATTTGGACAAACATAATCATTCTATCTAGAATCCTTTAAGAGTTTAAATAGTGCCTACAGCTTGCAGCTGCAGACAAAAACAAAACCATGCTTCCCTTCCTTAGTTTTAAACACACTTTGCTTTCCTACTTTTTAATGATCTTGTTATTTTAACTCTTGAAAGCTTTTTCACATACCTGAAAATAAAAGTGTACTTTTAATGAAAAGCTATTTTAATTGTGTTTTTTGACTGAACACTCCTTTATTCCCCTTAAACTTGAAAACAAAGTATGAGAAGTGAGTTTAAGGTCATGGTGGTTGGAGATTTCCTCCTGGAGGCAAAGTGTGCATGAAACTGGAAAATGACCATCTGCTTTAAGAAAAGCCTCTGTCGGCCTTTGTGACTGACAGTCTCTGGGTTCTCAGTAAGCCCGTGCCCTTGCTAATGAAATGATTAACTATGGCAACGTGAAACAAGACCATGTATGCGAAGCCCCTTTTATGTGATGTGTAAATAAATACAGACGTATGTGCACTGCACTGTTTGGACGTCATGTTTTTCCACTGTTGTACCACAGGTACCCAGCTGATCTTTGCGTTTGCAGTGAGAAAATACCCACAATTAGTTTTGTTTTTTTTTTATAATGAATTAAATCTTATATTAAATCTGAAATGAGAGTTTCTTGTATCTTGATTTAAAAAAAATAGCTTATGCAGTTTATATAATCAAGAACTTTTTTTAAGGGTGATACTTTGGAAAAATGTTAGTCATTAATATGATTAGTGCTGCTTACTATTATTTTCCAAACCTTTAAATCATCAAATATTAGGCACAGGCATCTGGATTGTCAATGTGAATGGTCAACCTTACACAGCCTAAAGCTTCAGATGACTCAGATTTTGGCTGGAACAGCTCAGTATTGTCAAATAATTAAACAAATAAAAATGACAAAAAGTTGACATCTTGATGAATCAGTCTTCTTCAGCTTAGCTTTTTGTAGTTTAATTTATGTGCATGAGCTGGAACATTTCAGGAGATTTAGCCTTTTAACGTGAACATTTAGCGCAGCAGGTCTCTGTGGAGGAGAACAAAGATGAATGCAGACAATGCCAACATGTGTTTTCACAGATTTCTTTCATTTAATCTCCAACAAGGCCTATTTATTATAATTTAGTCGATTTCAGATAGGGCTCAGACACATTTCTGAAGGTAAGGAAGTCTTCCTCATCAGGTTGGAGAAACTATAATTGAATGGTCATGTTGACTTTTTGATTCCTAACCACGATGGAGAGAAATTCTTAGAAGAATTCTTTACAGCAGCTCATTTCTGGAGAAAGTCGTGCTGATAAAAAGTGAAAGTGTTTATGACATAGATAGTCTCAATGAGACAAAATGATTAGATCCAGAGAGGCCAGAGTGTACTGGAGCGTACGGCACACATGTTCACTGTTTGCTCTGGTGATTGCCTGAAAACTGAGTAAGCATATATTTGAAAAGTGGCTGAGTGAACATTGACTGAGTCACGGGTTGGCTGCCCTCTTTATTAGTCAGCCAACAATGGCACAGGCCTCCACTCTGCTTTGAGCATACAGCTCCCTGTGCACAGGAAGAGACAACTGGCAGCCCTGCTTTATTAGGTTCAGCAGAGTCCACTTCTGACAATATCCACCTAAAAAAGAAAAAACAAGGGGGGAGGGTAAAAAAAGAAGGCCTCCTGGGGTGGAGAGGAAGCATGTGAAACAGGAAGAGGGAGTTTGGATAAATGCACCAAGTAGTTAGAGCCACATAAGACCTTGCAGTTGGAGGGATTAAAATGGAAAAGTTTTTAATTTTTTTTTTTCATGGAAATGGAAAAGTAGAGCAGCTATTTATAGGAAACCAGAGAAAAGGCTGTAAGTGTGGAAATTAGTCTTGGTTAAGGAACAGGATCGAGGCTGGATAGTTGGGGGGGGGAGAAATAAGTTCTCCTCACAGATTAAGCAAAACAATCTCTCATCAGCTGCACGTACTATTTTTCAGGGTATGCTCTTCATTGTGCATGTGTGTGTGTGTGTGTGTGTGTGTGCTTTGCATAGGAATCTGGTGAGGCTTTAGGACCTTGAGGTTTGCGCTGCAAAGGACACCTCCTCCTCCACCGCCACCTCCTCCACCGCAGAAGGCTGTTTACGAAGTAAGCTGAGAGCTCGTCTTGACAAAAACAAGGGCTGGGACTGCAGCGAGAGGGGCAGTGTGTCTGAATCCAGCACAGGCTCGTCCTCCATCGGAAACATTTTTGTATATATTGAAATATATATATATACATTTTTGGTGTAGAGGGAAAATGTTGTCTGTGAAATCAGCCCGTCAGCTCTGCAAAGTGTTTTTCTCTTTGCACGTTGTTTTCCTGAGTGTGGCTCTGGTGGAGAGCAGGGCATCAAATGGAGACCAAAAAGGTAAACTTGTGCTTTATAGACTGATTTTTATGTATGTGTGTGTTGAATTCCTCTTTCTTTTTTTGTTTTTCTAAAAGCTGTGCTCCGAGTGAATGTTTATATTATTTTTCTATGCTTTCGTTTTCTTTGCACAAATAAGTTCATGTCTTGCGCTCACTTGTTGTTTTGCTGTCTCGCTCAGACTGCGTGAGATCCCATGGTGTGGACTACAGAGGAGAACAACAGAACTCCTCCTCAGGTCTGAGCTGCCTAATCTGGACCAATACTACAAGGGACTATGATGTTACAATCCATCCAGATTCACAAAAAGGTACAAAAATATATTAGATCTAATGCCCCCCTTAAAATGAAGTCAGATTTGACTTCACAGATGTTATTGGGCACAACAGTTTCCGTGCTGGATAACAAACAGCATGGAGCATCTTGGCTGAGGTGCTGACATGGCAAAATCAGAGGAAAGGCTGTGAAATACAATAAAAGATGTGAATTTTCAGCATCTGTGCCTGTTGATGGTGTTAAGTGGCCTATTTTATGCACCAGTTGCTCTTTTCCTTTGTTTGTGCTCATACCAGGCCGTTCATTGTACTGTGATGAAATAGTGTTAATGATTAATGAATCCAGACAGTGGGGACAGACACGTAGAGATTGGCCTTTATTTCTACAAGGCATCGGTATCAGACACATGCTATTTTTTTTATCATTCCTCCCGTAGGTGTTGGAGATCACAATTACTGCCGAAACCCAGACGCCTCTGAGAGGCCTTGGTGCTACATTGCTGGCCCAGATGGAGCAATTCAGAGAGAATCCTGTGCACTTGAGACATGCAAAGGTTGGTAAACCCTATACACAGCAGTAATTATTAATACTTTACGAGTTGTATGCATAGTACAACTGCCATTTGCACAACAAATTTGACATTTGTAGAAACATGGCCAAAAATAAGCTGCACTGTCTGGCCTTGCAGTAGAAATGGGGTTTTTTTTTTTTTTTTTTTTTTGCTAATAATGATGTTTTCTAGCTTCTCAGCTTGAGGTGAAACTTATTAGTCAATGCAAAAAGTGTGCAGCCAAGTTGGAAACTCTTATCACTTAAAAAACAAAGTGTCCATCTAGCACATGTTCAAAACTTGTTCCAGTCTCATTGCAGATGGATCAGTGATGACTTGCTTTTAAGAGTGTAGTGGGTTAGTTGGTCGCTGTTAAGCTACTCTGAGGAATCTCGCGTGACCTTTGTCTCCGTCTCTTCTGGGGAGCCAACAAAAGTCATACAACAACAAAGCACCAGTGCACGAGTCTCAAACTTCTGTTTGGGGAAAGCCGTTGACCACGCCCAGCACCGAGCTTATTGGCACAGAGGAGAAGTTTTTCCCACGGAGACAGCAGCTAATTGGCTGTATCAGTTTATGACTTCCTGCCTTTTAACTGGGGCAAAGTTGATAAACAAGTTCTGTGGAGGAAACGGGGACAAAAGATTTAAAGAGCAGACGTTGTCATCTGTTGGAGTGGCAGTTGGCTGTGCTGGGCTTGTTTGTGTCTGGTACATTGAAAAAAAAAAAAAAAACCCAAAAGGCACGTGCTCGTCAGTCCCCTATTGATTTACATCCCAACAGTTTGTTGAGAAAAATCTCAGAGATTTCTTCATGCCACAACATTACCGCTGTTTTTGCGTCAGCGGTAATGCTGTTGGACCAGCAGTAATTGGACACCACATGGTCCAGACGATGCACTTCTGGTCAAATTGAAGTACCGCCACACACTAAAGAATAAAACTATATATTAGGCTTTAAAAAGCATAAATACATATTCTTGGGTTAGGGTTGTCAAAGTGAAGTACTTCATGTAAAAGTAGAGATAAAAGGTAGGAAATGGAAAAACTCCCTTTTAGCAGCAAGAAGCCTCCAGGTTCAGAGACGGCTCGCTCTGATCATCTGGTCAGTCTCCAGAGTACAGACCCAGAGTGTTTTACTACACAGACATGCTGCTGTAGTTTGTGCAGGATGTTTATTGGAATTGCCTTTTCAAACATACAATGACTTCACATTCTGGATGGCAGCATGTGTTTCTCCAAAACGACTGTTACTACTTTTACATTACACATCACTGTGCAATGTTTAGCATTAATAGTGCCTTCACAGAGATTAGCAAGCATCTTCAGTATACTAAAAAGTTTTTTTATGGCCAAAAAAACCAACTTATTACTTCTGTTATATGGAAAAACATGACTTGGAGAAAGACCACTAAAAAGTTGTTTTGCTGTATGTTTAGAACAAACCTCTTCCGTACCAGCAAAGACTGAATCCCTCAGCACAAAAGCAACCACTCCCTCCACAGAGAGCGCTCAGCCAGCCAAAGCTTCGCAGGGAGATGTTCCAGCTCTGCAGCCAGTGATGGGTATCAGCCAGCGAGTGCATACAGGACCAAAAAAGAAGAAGGACCTTGGCACTATTGGTATGCTGTGCTTTTATGTACTTTAAAAACATGTATGATGCTGGCATTGTGCACAAACCTGCAGCTTCAATATGTTTTAATTATAAATTATACAGTTTCGTTTTTAAAGGAGCTGAAAGTCTTTCTTATATATCTGTATCTTCTGTTTTAACCATTTTCCACTTCTTTTGTTTTTCAGGATATGTCCTTGCTATCATCATGATGGGGATTATAATCGTCCTTGGAGTGGGCATCACATTGGGCTACTTCTATAAGAGGTGAGCATCTTACTCACAGCAAGCCAGCTGGTTCAGTATCAGAGGGATTTGTGTGCATGAGGATGTTCAGGATTGTCTGTTCATGGATGGTGAGCTACTTAGATGTGAGATAAAGCCAAAATGCGATCCTTCAGAGTTGCATCCTCCAGTTTAAACCGGCTTGTAGTGTTTTTGATAGCTTTGAAAGGTGGAGGAGGAATACCGGAATGATTCATTCACACGACATCACGTGTCATTGGCGTTCTCTTAAGTTTAGGCAATTGACTATTAAACAGATTCCCTACCGATGGTCTCTGTTGTTCTTCTCAGAAGCAAGGCAGCAGTTTTATGAGCTTTCTCACAAAAACCACAACAGAACATGAGGGCAAACGTGGCATGAAATGAAATGCCTGCAGTTTATTTTAAGCACTTATTTTGTGTTCTCGAAAGAACAGATGATGCGGAGGAGGGGCTGCATGGGACAGGGAAGCGTACAGTTATGTAACGTGCAAAACGTTAGCCCCGATGTTACGAAAGAGGGGACTCGGGTTCCCTTTGGCAAACACAAAATGCCCTCCCGGATCTGTGTTGGGCTGTCCTATCTGATTAGCGCTGCCTCATCCTCGTTTTCTATTATTAGGAAGTGATTACTAATAAGGAGGAGAAGCATATTATGTCAAAGGGTTTATAAGTGGCCTCAGCATACACTGGCAGCATCACCACCAGTAATGGGTTTGATGAGTGGGAGACATGCTTACATTCTTTGCAAATCGTTGTCCTTAACTGACTCTGCATTATCTTATGCCACCTAAAAGAAGAGCTGAGGAAAGATTTCAACCCCAGACTGCTCCAGGCAAAGATTGCACACTATATCCCAGTGGAAACAGCCTGCTGTGGGAATAGATAGCTTATTGACAAGGAAACCGATCCCCTCGAGGCTTCCCTCCTACCCCAAACACCATCCATTTGGATTACCTCCAGGAGTGCACTGATTCATTTTGTTGCATTAAGTACAAGTAGTCTTTTTTTTACATCTCGTGTATTGCTAACCCTCTGGTCCTGAAAAAGAAATGGAAATTTGTGAAAAGCCTAAAGACTTTGTGGTGATATAAAGTGTTTCAAGGCAGAGCAAAGACAGCACAGGAGCAGGCAGATAGTGGTATATTGGCCTGTTTTGGCTTCAGATCAGCAGAAGGTCACCTCGTGCTGCTTCCCGTCGCTGCATTGCCTTGGAGTAGATAAACTCCCTGCCAGCTTGTGAGTTCTGGGTTCCTCTGGCCATCTGTCCCACTGCTGACAATGCAGCGCTTCGTGTAACAGGCTGTGTTATCTACGTACAGTATGCTCTCTGAAGACCCTTATCGTGAATATGCTGCTTGGGTGACGCCCAGAAATACAGTGTGTAGGATCAGCGACAAGGCTTCTGAGTGCATGCGAATGATAGATATTTTCATGATGCTTAAAACAAAACAAGACTTGACTGTGATTGGTTGTTTGCATGATAGCTAAGAGTTAAAAGGGAGAATGATCAAATTCTATTGTTAATTAACAAAAATCCATTTAGAAAAAATAGTTATTGCAGATTTATCTTTTGAGGGTTAACTATATATAAAGAGATATCATAACCGATCTATGTTTTGCGTTTGCCTTTAGGGGTCAGAACCTGAAGAAGCAGCACGAGCAGCGGGTCTATGAGCGTGAGATGCAGAGGATCACCCTGCCCCTGTCGGCTTTCTCCAATCCCACCTGTGAGCTTGTAGATGAAAACACCATTGTTATCACAGCAGAGCATGAGACCACTCCCGTGCAGGACGACGCGGATGGCGGAGACCCTCTCATGGCCCAGCAAGCCGGTACCCCTGGAGCATGAGCGGGCATCTAGTTCCTGATGATTTTTCTTTTCTTTTATGGACCAAAGCACTCCCATCTCCCTGTTTCTCCTTTCCACCTCCCTGAGTAATGTCTATTTTAAAGGAGCAGGGGGCAGTGTTGTCTCCGGAGACTTGAACTGAATGAAGCTTTGTCCTTTCTGTATTTGTTCTTAACACGTGAGGCACAAACAAGATAAGTTCACACACAGTGGACACAGCCTTAACAACTAGAAACCCATTACAGTGGATCTGTTGTTAATGAGCACGTCTGGAGGTCTTTAATGTTCATATCTGATACTTTTAGCAAAGAGAATAAGGGCTATTCTCTTAAATAACAATAAGAATATCAAGTCAGTGTTTATAATAATACGTAATGACACCAGTGTGTAAAGAGGTGTTGTTTGGAACGGGGAAAATGTTCATAACCTTTTGCTTTTCAAGGGAGGTTTGATTATGTGATGGTTATCTGGTTTATTTTGATTTGTAGTGACCTGCTGGCTGTGCTGGCGGGGAGGCACAGACAAGAAACCTGTGCGCACAAAGACCGCTTTTTCTTGCGTGCACACTTGTGATACAGATGTGGTCCAAAAATAATCATCTTCCTCTTGAGACAGGATGAGGGAGTGTGAGGTAAAACAGGCCCACTAAAGACAAGGGAAGGCCTATAACTCAAAAAACTGCCTTAGCATGATACTTCTGAATGTACTTCCTTTATAATGTTCCTGGAGATTTGTTTTTCGTGTTCAGCCGACGGGTAAATTTGATTTGAAAACATCGATGGTGGTCCCGGGAAGACGTGAAAAAGAAGACTTGCTATTTTTTTTTCACAGGTTAAGGAGTGACAGGAAATTTTCCAGAGTCTTCTCAGGATGAACGAGAGACAGTAGTTAGACGAAATAGCACTGCCGCAACACAGACCAGACGCTTTTAGAAAAAATAAAATAAACATAAAAATCTGTCTTTGCAGTGCAGGGCAGTGTAGCTGAAGAGGTCTAGATTAGATTGACACATTTGAGGTGCGCACTGCGATGCTTTAGAGTTGACACAGGAATGGAGTAGATAGTAGAAACAGTCCAAAGTTTAGGTGTTCACATAAAAACACTCGAGAACATGATTGCATGTGTATGGTTGCCTGTTGTATGTTTCCCCTTCTGAGGCTTTTTTTGTGTCTTAAAAAAACAGGACTAAAATGACATGCTTGAGAATAATTAAAAACGTTAGACATCATCAAGATTTTGCAATGGTAGTTTTCACTGCGTTACTGCGTTGTTTGTTGTGATCCAATCACTCCAGAGCATCTTGTTTTGTGATTATTGCTGGATCCGTATCACTGGTAATGTTTAGTTACTGCTGCTCCGTTATTTTAAGTGTCTGTGCGCTGGCTGCGATCATTGTTTATAGTAGCAGTGTGTTTAAAATACTTTTGTTCAGCGTTTGGATTTAGAACTTGTATTTTTATGAATGCAGATTTTCACTGCTGAGACTGAAATAAATTTAAAAAAAAAGCTAAAAGTACAACTTATAAGGTGTGTTGGACTCACTATATTCTTTCTTACATTTATTGCAATAAAGAAAACAATACAATAGAGCTGATTTGTTCACAGGAAGGAAGTTTTTTTGCACTGGCTCCCCCTGCTGGCAGTTCTTAAACACAACACTGAGGCTTAGGTTTAGCTGACTGTTTATAGGACAAAATCAGTTAAACATCAGAAAACTTAAACCTTTGTGGATCCATTCCACCTGCTCTGGTACAAATGAAAAGGGACAACACGTGCACTGAAAGGGAACAATCGTGCAGGTGGTAACGGAATCTAAATCCTTTATTAATCCCAGGGTGGGGCATGGAAAACAGAAAAAAAAACATAAATCCTGTATGTAAAAATAATGTACGTCATTCAATGTAAATATAAAAGAAACTAAGTTGAAAAAATAAAATATAGTAAATGAGAAATAAACATGTAAACAAAGACTGCAATGAAAATATATCTGTAAAAAAAAAAAAAAAAAAAAAAAATTATATGGACACAAAAACCTTAAGTCAAACTAAAAACTCTAAAAGCTAATCCGTAAATGTGGAGCATGAAAGCTGAAAGATGGCTCTCCATGAGTATTAATTTCTCCTGTCTGAGGACCTGGGGGTTCTGGAAGGCTGAAAGTGTAAAAGTAAATCTGAAAGATGAGGCGTTAAACTCTTGAGAGTCTTAAAAACCAGTAAAAGGCTCTTAAACTCTAAAACTAACTGGGAGCCAGTGCAGACACATTAAAATTGGTGTAATATGGGCTGTTATTCTGGTTCTTATCATCAGATGTGCAGTCGCAGCTACGTTGGTGACAAAGAGTTTTTGGAAGACCAGAAAGAAGAGCATTGCAGTAAAACAGTCCTGCAGGAGATAAAAGCAGGAATCAGTGTCTCTGCATTGGCTTGAAAGATACATTTTTGGGAGTCTTGCAATAAAATGCAATTTTGCAATGTTTTTGATGTGAGCTTACCTGCTTACACACGTTTAGTGTCTGAAGAGATTCTGAAGTTGTTATGAAGTTATCTTCCAGCAGTCTCGAGATTTTGGAGAAGATAGCAGACGACAGGCTTTTACCCAAGTATGGCAGGGCAGCAGAAGGACCAGCAAATTCTCCTTTACGTGAGGAGCACAACAGGAGTCTTACGAAATGACCTCCAGCTGGCTGATGATATGCATGTATGACCAAACTGTCAGAAACAGACTCCATGAGGACCTGGTGTTCTTTAGTGGGACCTGTACTCACAGCTCAGCACCATGCACGTGGATTGACAACTGCCAGAGATCATCACGCAACAGCCATGAGTAGGAGTACCAGTGGCAGATCTTAAAACTAAAGACCTAAATTGACAATAATGAGCTTATTAAACTACATTTCTGAGACAAAAAATAGATAAAATAAAATACTGATGGCCACCAGTATCCCTCAGCCCTAAGTAGATTCATGTATGCTAAATGAAAATCTGTCATCTTGAGTCACTGCATTCACAAGATTTTTAGATAACTTAAACTCTGACCTTGCCTTTGAGGTCACAGCTGCACCTATGTATGAATTTGAAAATCATACATCGCCTCATTCTTGAGTTGTTGCATTCACAAACTTAGGCGCCCCGTGTTGTCGCTCTTCAGAGCGTTTGATGCCATGCACCTGATTAATGACAATTAAAAATGCAACTTTCAGAACTTTTATTTATGAAACACTACATTAATATAAATAATAGTGGTTACAGCTGGTTGTCAGTACCCTGAATGATAATAGCAAAAAAGGCCAAAATGTCATTCGCTGACGAAATGTCTAAAATATACAAATCTAGAAGTCCCGTTAAAAAAAAGAAGAAAAAACAAGACGTCAAATTAGTGCTACAATATGTACATACTTATATACAGTGGCAAAAATATCCAGTCCTGTACAAAGGCAGTTTTTTTCTTTTTCCAAACAGTCAGCTCTTGCATGATTATGTCTGACAATCATTAACAGTCCTAAACTGCAAAAGAGCTTTTGTCCCGTTTTTTCCCCCCCGACATGAATAAAACATCTGCACGGTGTTCGTTCAACATTTTGGTAAAATAATTAAAATAATTAAGCTAGAAAGTACACAGATCCATGATCAAAAATGAGATGAGTGATGCTTAGAATAAACATAATCTGAACATTTCTTTGCCATCATGTGTAAATTCTCAGCAGCAGCGGTGTGTTTGCTTTCTTTGCTGCCCAAGGTCACACCTGGGGTTTTTTTTTGTGTCCTGCCCTGTTTATTTGAACATGCCAATGAGCTAGACTGTCAAGGATCTTTGTTTTCTTTGCCGCTGAAGTGAAGTGACTCCTCTGTTGGGCAAGGACCGATCTGTGCATTCCACACACAGCAACAACAACTCCAGAGCCAAAAGAAACCCGACAGAAAATAAAACTGTTGTCACGTGGGAGCATAAAGTCCTCCGCCTTAGAAAGAAAGAGTCTTTCCCTCTGCCAGGGAGGACATTTTTCTTTTGTCTTTATACAGAGTGAACAATCTTCTTTGTAATGAGTGGCACAGGAGGAATTAGTAAACACTTGTAATTCTGAAATGTTTTTGCACTATCTTTGCAGTTCACTGGTATTCACAGGGTTAAAGTCCCAAAAACACAGATTGATCCAGCTACCTCAGGTTATCCAGTTTTAATACGGCTCGGGTTCAATACAACTTTCCTCTTTTTACACATCCACAGTGCAGCAGGTCAGAGGTGTCACTAAAGTAAATACAGACAGTACAGGCAGAAGTCCTAGGTGCCATTGTCTGTCGTGCTCGAGCAATCTGGAGAGGCTGCCACTGGGGTTAACGACTGATCGGAGCTCTGGTTTGGAGAGCCGTCTTTAGGCCAATAAAGTCGACTCAGGCTCTGATGCAGTTCTTCCAGTTCGGCTGGCAGGGGGATTCCCAGCTCCTGATTGAGGGACAGAGCTGCAAACCAGTCCTCAAGCTTCTGAAAAGGTGGACTGAGGAATAAAAAAGGGGGAAAAGGAATGGTCAACAAGGGCACAGAGAGGGGTTTGAGGCTAAAACCAGACTGACAAGGTTGACAGAAAACATGAGGAAGCAATCTGGTAGCAGAGGCGTGTCCCTCAGCGATCAGGTTGAGATGGCATCTGAAAGGGTTTTTGTTTCACTCCTCCTCCTACAACCAGTTTCATTAAAAGGCATGATACCGTCTCGAGTGAAGGCAGATACAGTTCTCATATGGCCACATCTCTTGACTCTTTCAGGTTATTAAGAACTTTACCTTATCGGTCAGCAACTCTGCAGAACATTAACTTTTCATAACAAGTTAAATGAAATCTGTAATACATTAAAACAAAAGCTGTGGCTCACCGGTTGTCTGTTGTGAGGTCACAGCAGGCTACAGCCAATGGAAAGAAAGCTGGTGTGCAGTCTTCAGGGAGAAACTTCTCCACAAACTTGCCAACATTTAGGCCAAAGTCCAAAGTCCTGGGGAGGCACTCAGGGTCCGCGTAGACTTGTCCAATGATCTGAATCACAGTAAGGAGGATAAACAGTAGGCAATCAATTAAACAGATAGTGATGTGCATACAATGCTTTCACACACAAATACATTAGTGCTTACTTTGAAAGGCTTAATTGCATGCAAGGTCTGTCATCTAACCCCAAAATGTGCTCGTTAAGCCATTACTTTGAGTAAACCGAGTAAAAAGCAGCATCTTACCTCGCAGAGAACAATTCCAAAGGAGAAAATGTCCACCTTCTCATCGTAACGTTTACCTGAAATAACAGATAAATAAATGTAATTACAAAATGGGTACAAATTAAGCTCTCATTACTGTTTTTCCCCCCCTTTTTAATGTCCACTCACCATTTAGCATCTCTGGAGCCATCCAGTAAGGATTCCCCACAACGGTGTACCGCTTCTTTCGATCAATCCGTCTAAAGCGCTTCTTATTGGTAGGTTTTTCAGGTGGAGGTTTAACTTTCTCTTCTACTATGAGTCGGGACAGTCCGAAATCAGCAACGACTACAGTGTTGTCCTGTTGAATGATTACAAGCGAGGGTTTTACTTCTCTAGTGACCCAGGATAGGAGAGAACAGGGTTTATAATGCCAAGAAAGCCCAAATATGTTTAATGCTCTTTGGTCTTCTTTTGGAGTCAGTTTTAATGTATCTTAAAAAAAAAATAAAAGCTGCGTACAACCCAGCTTTTGCTCATTCTTGAAATAAAAACCATTCACACTTCATCATGTTTAATTGCTTCTAAGATGAAATGCCACCTACCAGTTTAACCAGACAGTTGTGAGAATTTAGGTCTCTGTGGATGATGCTCATTGAGTGGAGGTAGGCCTAAAAACAAAAAGGGGAAAGTCATGTCAAGTAAACACAGAAAATCCCAAGTAAATCCAAAAATAAATTATTCATTTGCTCAAATCTTCTAAACGCGGATTTCATCAGATCTTTGCAAGACGAATAAAAGGGTTGCACTTTGTCACAGCATGAGTTTGATCTACAGCTATGTTAAACATTTTGTTACACAGTAGCTTAATGGTTGTGGATGTGGATGTTTGAACACATACAGTCAGGTGACAGTAGCAGCTAGTAAGCTCTTTGCAGGAGGCCAACTCACCATGCCAGAAGCGATACCCTTTGCAAAGCTCACCCTCTGCTCCCATGGAAACGGGTCCTGTTAGTCAGGAAAAAGAAAAAGCAATGAGACAAACAGAAGCTCTCTCAGAGACCATAACAGCGTTAAATCTAATGATCTTACACCAAGTAGGAGACAGCTGTGTTAAATGAAATTAGACCTTTATGAAATAAACTAAATCTAAAATAGTCCTCCCCCACATGCTTTAAGCCTCATTAGGGACAAAGCACCCTCATAGGCGTTGGCAGTAGGGGGGGAGGAGCGGAGCGCGACTGTTCCAAGTTTCACCTGAGAACACTTTCTATAACTTTTCTCACTCCACGTGCCGGTCAGTTGATACGCAACCCAGCCAATTATAGAGTCCAGAGCCCTGTATCAGTGCAGAGCTTACTCCAGGTCACCACCCTCCCTCCCCTCCCTACATAAGTCCTGCTTAAAAAAAAAAAAAAGCTCTCTCTTCGGCCACTGTTTTTATGCTTCACTATGGGTGAGGAGTGTTTCAGCTTTATAGACTCACCATGTCTCTGATGAAATCCTTCAGCGTGCCGCCCTCAATAAACTCAGTAATCAAATTGAGCCTTTTGTCTTTGTACAGCACGCCGATAAACTTCAGAACGTGGGGATGGTCAAGGCTTCGCATTACTTTGACCTGAAGATTAGATGTGTGACAGAAAAAAAAAAGAAAAAAGCTCCAGATTATTATAAGCAGATGATCCCAAATTGATTTACACGAGAGTCTGTGGGATAAAAAGCACTGAATAAAATACAAGTCAAGCTAATGCGTCTCCACAAGACACTGGCAACAACAACAAATA